CACGGTGTAATCTTTGAATGCATACTTCAAGCTATGCTCCTAATAAACTGATTATTATACATATTTTCCTTCCAAGGACACATCATTGGAATTCCGAAATCCAAAATGTTTAGAACAGAAATAGCGAACTTCTTTGTGTGGAGTCCGGTCAAACCCTTATGCAAGCCATGTTTGTTTTTATTATTAGAAGACACTTACGCGCGTAGTCAGTCCATATTTGGATTTTGCATTTCCTAATATGGTAAGATGAAATTACCCCGCATAATACCGCAAAATTACTACACGCTCTAACTTATGGCGTTACGGTGACAGATATATAATAATAATTAATAATAAATTGTTCAAAGAGCAATAATATTGCTAAAAATATAATGATGTTAACGTTGCAAACTAACATTTTTTTATTAGTTTGAATGCAAAATGAGCATTTCTTAGAGGCTACAAATTTAGCTAATTCTATCTTTACTTAGATGCTCGAAGTAGTAATTCAGAATCTGAGATGTGTATAGTGTGGGCATATAAACATCATGTGATACTCGTTTTAAATGGAATAAGAGTTGCACAGAGTTTTCTCTTGGTATTTTTAGATACGTACTGCTATCAAAATTCAGTGCGTGCGTTGTAATAGAGTGTTCTGTTAACGATCTTTTAAAAGCTAGAATTTTTTGATGAAATTACAGTATGTAATTATTTATATTGAGTATAAATCTACAGGGAGAAACTTATACTCTTTCCATAAACCTCGAGTAATTCGCGAGTTTTTTCCCTGTGATTCTCAAGACCTAGTTTATTAATTGTAGATCACGATAAGTATTGCGTATTTTGGCAATGTAACATTAATTGTGTATTACCTTCGGATTTAACCATCCAGTCTTCTCTTCGTATAAAATACACTAATATAATGTCAACTATGATGAGGATTAATGAACACATTAGGCATATTAGGATCTCTGTTTTATACGATTGACCGCCATTCACTGGATAAAATACTATACCTGCAAATAATTAGTAATATGAATGTTTCTAGTAAGGAATCTTCTAAAAGTTTATTTAATTATTGTTAATCTAACTTGGGATTATATACACCAATGTATTTCAACCAATTCAACTATTACTTACTTGTCCCACTCAGGTAAACAACGAAATAAGTCATATTAATATAGTTCTCTGCATAGCATGTGTAATTTCCATAATCTGTGTATGTCACGTTTGTAATTAACAATACACTAGTCTGTATTGTGTCTTTCTTTATTTCAACAATTATACTTCTGTCTGTACAGTTGATGACCTCATTCCCCAACGAGTCGTACCACGTGATATTGGAATCCGGGTTACTATTAACTTCACATGTTAGATTAGCCGTTTCCATTACGTCAGCTTTTATCACTGCCTCGTCCGTATTTTCAATAAATGGACTATCTGTGATTCGAAAAAAAACAACAATAACGAGAAATTGTTAATGATTTAGTCCCCATTGGAATCGGGGAGATGTTATTCATGCCAAAAATAAAGTTACAGACCAAAAGCATAGTTAGTAATTGAGAAAAAAATGAATAAATTTCTGATCTCGTATAAAGAGAAATTAGTTGTATTAAACTAATCTTTCCAAATAGAAATAAATGGTCCAAACGGAATTCCCTTTGTCCGAGCTCATGTAGAGAGATATACTACTATGGCCAAGAAACAAGATTGCCGGAAGTCCATATTTAACCCGATTGTGAAACTAATTGTCATGAACGTGTATAATTTGAAAAAAAAAATATCAAACATACATTTTGCCAAAAAACAAAGATGGCTGCTAGTTTGTCATTTTTGGATTTATGTGAACTCAAAACAAATCATCATGTACATACATGT